TCGATTCGAAAACCGGACCTAACAGTAGCATTACTCATGTAGCCAGGCATTCATATTTTCTGTTGAGGACTGTCTTTCTCATTCCATTAGTAGTTAGGTTTTTTGATTGTTTTTCCTGTAGAGTATAGGTTGGCTCAAGCAGAACTAGAAAATAAAAATCCAAGGGTTGACATTCTTTCAGGTTGCTTTACAAATTCATTCCTGTTCAAGAGAATATGTATTTTTAATTATTTAGTCTAGTAAATATTTTCCACCCAGAACTTTGATTTTGATGGCTAGATGTTTGCCTTTCCAGCTTTTCATATAATAGTTCTGTAGGGATTAAATAGTTAATGTAGAGTGTACTAATAAGCTAGTCAATACTTAGTCTCAAAGTGCAAGGACTCTTGATAATTGGCAAGACAGGTGGCTCTGCATGGAGGGGTTGCCTATCTGCAAGGACTCCTGATATATGGCAAGTCAGGATGTTCTGCATGGAGGGGTTGCCTATCTACAAGGACTCCTGATATATGGCAAGACGGGATGGTCTGCATGGAGGGGTTGCTTATCTAGAGGTGTCCCAGTCGGCAATAAAATATAGATAACATTGACATGAAAGCAGAACAGGAGAACAGGAGGGGGGACATTTTTGGGGTAAAAACTGTATAAAAGAGGGACGACCGAAGTGGTCGGGGTCCGTGGTGTGACCCCTGCGTGGGAAAGCCCGGACCCCAGCTAGCTGGTAATACTTATTATCTTTCTCCTATCATTAAAAAGCACAATATATCGATGGTGTTTGCCTCTCTCTCCGTCAATTCGAAAACCGGACCCAACAGTTCCCCTGTTCTAACTAATATATTAGTTATATTTTGCATCTGTCACATCCTCCTAACGTCATCTTTTCTCCATAGTGTTACCATCTTATGTTCCCTTTGACAGATGTACTGAGATTGTGAATACCCCAAATAACGTTTGTTTCTGATGTTGTGACCCTCCTTTTTGTGTCAAAGGGCTAACTAGCCTTTTGTTAAGGCCATGTCTTCATGGGTCAGTGTGCAGTAAGAGCAGATTTGTAGAAGACTTGGAGCTGAGGGTCTGAAGTCTGTCCTACATATGCTTTAAGAGGTTTTTCTTTGGATTAGCTTTAGTTTGGTCCTCTGGATAGAAACCTTGTTAGTAACTGGAGTGTACCAGTTGGGCTCCAAAAGCTCCTCTTTCAGTTTAGGTTTTATAAGCATGCTACTTACCCAACTGAAATGCCGTGGTAGATCACTCGCTCCTCTCTACCTCCTTCTATGTCTTTTTCATGAGACTTTTACTTTTTGCAGTGTTCATTCTTTTTTGGGAATCTCAGAACTTAATTTTTATTCCTGCTAGTGTCTGGAAGAGTCACCATGTTTTCTAGTAGGTACATGCTTCTACAGTTACATTTTTTTTTTTACATTTAAAACTGTTTTCTTAAGATGGTTCTTGAAGGAGTTTTGTTTATACAATACTATAAAATATTTGGAAAACATGCACTTGATTCCACTGCTTGTAAGCAGGTATACTCTGATCTTTGATTTTTATGCTGCCCTTATGTCTTTATCCCAAATTCTGACCCTATTGCTCCTTCCCTTCCTTCCTTTCAGTCTACTGTATCCTAAATCTTTTGCTCTTTGTCACGCACACCCAGGTTACTATCAATCTTTCCAAAGCGGTCCTTGTCCTTAGGTCCTTGTCTTTACCCCAGGGGACTTAAATGAAGTCCCCCATCTACTGGCCCAGCTGGTCTTTCTCTCTTGCCATCTAGGATCTTGAACATCTCTCTTCTTGTCACGCACTCTTTGGATCGTCTTCCCCAGGCTATTATCTCCTCCCTTAATATTTGAAATCTGGTTTGTCCTTTAACTATGTGATTTTATATTGTTTAATCAGTTTTTCTAGGTTTCTTACAGGTTCAGCTATTTGTGATCTTATCTTTCTTATTTTTCCTGTCTATCAAATTCTTTAACTCTTCTTTCAGTGCTACCTTCTCAAGCACCATTAGAGAATTTGTTCTTTTCCAAGTCTGTAAGTGAGAGAGATTCTGGAAGTAAAAATGTATACATATGTCTATTTCCAATAACACTTCAAGTTCTTATCTGCATATCAAGTCCTCCTTGTCTGTAATTGTTAGAGGCAGAGTTATGGCTGCTTAAACTGGCAGATAATGCAAGTGCTGTAATGTAAATAGAACCACCCAAAAACCTCATGCTACTACTGGATTTGATGGGCAACATACTGGTTGCATGTTGGAAACAATAACATAAAACAGAATCTGCAGCATAATGCTCTCTTTCTGAAGCGTGTATATGCCAACATATCTTTGGTGTTTTATGAAACCTAAAATGTGTGTCAATATTTTTACCATTTTCCTTAAAAAGCCCACTTTGCAGAAGGATGCTTACCACTATTGGTTTTGTCAATATTGGCTATTAGAAGGTACTTGTAAATCTTTTTAAAGCTGCCATTTCCCTAATAGATTAAAAAAAATGCAAATCAAGATTTAAACGAGTACATTTTTACATCATGGGATAAGAAACAATGTCAGATTACTCTTTAGATGATCTAAAAATAGCTACAAGCAAAATGAAATATCTCAACAATAAGACTTTTCAGCCGACTTGCTTCTAAGAAGCCATAACTTTCTTCATATTACTAGGAAGTTGTAGAGTAAGTCTGGCTGTATTTTGGCTTGTAAAATGACTTGCAAGTGACTTGTAAAATATAATGCTTTTAAAAAGAACATGAAGATATCCTCCTATGGATGATAGGGTTAACCTTTACTGCATTAATAGTATAATAAAAATAAGCTTAGTCCAGAAGGATTTAAATGTAACAATCTGCCTTTTTTTCCCTTCTGTATATTGAATCATGCAACTCCTCCACTATTTCTTTGGTTTTAATGGCTTGTCTGCAATACTTTCCCCTTGTGCCCTAAATTTGTTTAAACCATTTTGCCCTGCCCTGTAACCTCAGGGGACTACTTTGTTCTACTTGATGAAATAGGCTAATTTGAGGGTCCATTCAGTCTTCAATCCTCAAAAGAACTTGGAGCAAAACAGAAAAAAAAAAAAAAAAAAAAAAAGGTTAACATATCATTTCTCAGGTGCAACACTCATGGACACCTTTTTTTTTGTTCAAATATCTTCATCTCAAAGAGTAGCAGTAACTGTACAAATTGCATGGATAATTTTCCTTTTCAGGACTCAGTGCAATCAAGCCAGAGATGCTTCTGCACAGTTACTTTGAGGTCGTGTGTGTGAGAGTCCTTGTACTTGCAAGCAAAAGGAACCTTCAATTCTATTTCATTACTTGTGTTTCCTGAACTCTATGGTGCCTGAAGCTCACATATATATATATATATTGTTTTCCAATAGCAATAGCCTTTTGCTGCCTAAATAGGAGTTAGTAAGACCACATACTTGTCTTAAATCAGTAAATTAAAAAAAACTTTAAAATTGCCTGGTAATTAACACAGTCATGCTTCCTAATGAAACTCCTAGTTCATGCCTTGTTCATAATTGAGTTCCACTGAGTTGCATCAGAAACTTTTTTTTATAAGTGCCAGATGCTTTGGCATTTTTAGGACTATCTAAAGTAATGCAGTTCTGCTAGTTTAATAGGTTTTTAATTATTGATTATATACGCTGTTCAGGTGGACAAGCTTGTGATGGAGCTGGAGCAGAGCCGTAACCTCAGCTGTACGATCGTGCACATTGACATGGACGCCTTCTATGCAGCTGTAGAAATGCGAGACAATCCAGAGCTGAAGGAGAAACCTATAGCAGTGCGATCAATGAGTATGTTGGTAAGGCCAAGTGTCAAGCTAGTACAGAAATCGATTACATGGATCTGAAGAGTAATAAAACGTAAAATAACATAACATCATGATATTGTTATGAAGAGAATTTTTATTGAGTGTATGGGAGGAAACATCTATTCTTGGGCTATATAAGTTTGTATATTTTACAGTGAAACATAGTGATAAAAGTTTAAAAGTTGAGACAGACTGAGAAGGGGGATGCTGAACTTACATATTAGCTTCATCAGTTAATATGCAGCAGTTAACTTGCACATCAGCTTCGTGAGTCCCTTCTGTGTGGAGCTTTGTGGTTATAACTTGATTGTTAAACACTAAGCCTATTTCTTCTCTCCTAAGTCCACCTCAAATTACCATGCTAGGAGATTTGGTGTGCGTGTAGCCATGCCTGGGTTTATTGCTAAGAAGCTATGCCCTCATCTAACTATAGTGCCATTAAACTTGGCAAAATATGGCAAAGTGATTAAAGAGGTAAGTCTGAAAGAAGTACACTCTAACCAAAAGTCGATAGACTTTGTTGTAAACTTTATGAATATGTCATTTTTTTTTGAATAACATGAGAAGCGGTATTTTAAGTGTTAAACTCTTCAGTGATGTGGCTTTGAAGATAATTTAAATAGAACATTGTGTTTTTTGGCAAGGAGGTGAAAAAGCATTACACTCATCCATACTGCAAATTTCATGAAGCCAGTAGTGATGCTGATAAGAGATTTTCGAAACTATATAATGAACTGTTAATACTAATTGACCCCTATTATACTCCTCTTCAAAACCATGGAGCATAATCTGACTATTAGGAAGCTGTAACTACATTTGAAACTTGAAGATATTATTATGCTTTGCATGAAATAATTTCTTTTCAGTGCTAATTACTGGAAAGAGAAGCAAGATACATTAGTGAGTTCAAAATGAAGGGAAGAAAGAAATTACACCTTGCTTCAAGGGAAGAAGGGATTTTATTTAGCACCAGGAAAAATACTTTAAGTATTTCTTAAAGATCCCAGTGTGTGTACACGCTTACACATATATATAAAGACTGTATATTTTGTTGATCTTAAATCAAACTCATGCATGACTTGAGTAAAATTATGCCAAAATCTCTTTTTAAAGTCTGAACTTCAGACACATAGATAAAAATAAGCTCATTATTAATTTTTGGTTGAATGTGGTTGAACTTGGTTTAATTAGAAGCAAAATCAATCTTACTTCTATTTTAAGTAAATATACAGAAGTGCTTCAGAGTGGTTTTGAACTCATTAGGGATCTCAGATTATGAGATACGAGGAGGATAAGAGGAAAACTGTTAAAGGTGCAGATTGGTTTTATATTTATACTTTTCTCTTGGGATTTGGATTGAAAGTATTTCAACATGTTTCATTTTGTCATTGAAAGTTATGTCGTGAATCCAATCTTTAATCGGTTTCAGAAAGATGAAGTACATGTGACTGAACGTGGCCACTTGTTTTAAGATATTGCCTTTTCAGAGGATGCATCTGTCTTTAAAGAATTTCTGATAAGCTTTGCCTGTGGTCCTAAACATTGCTGTTAACTGTCCCCAACTGTTGGTTATTAGTTTAGTTTCAATGGAACTAAAACTCTAGTTTTTTTGATGCACAGTGCAAGAAAAAAAGCCCTATTAGATCATGTGCTCATTCCAGAGTTCTGATGAGTTCCCTGATCCCCAGTGTTTTGTTCATGAGATTACTGCAGATTTCTGAACCTAGTGTCTGCGGGGTCTTTATATACAGATCTTGAAGACCTCTACAGTAAAAGTTGTTGCTCAAAACCCTTGTTTAACTTATTACTGATGTCTTGCTACTTGTGAGAATCAATGCTATACATTTTGATTGACAATAAATTACTTATTCTATAAATGCCTTAGTCATCTTGAGGCATCACAGCACATTTGTTCACCTGAAAGTTGTATGTTATGATCTGCTGTAACAGCAAAATGGCTTTAAACATGCACTATACGTTTATCAAGGTTAGAGAAATACTGTCTGAATATGATCCCAACTTTATGCCTATGGGCCTGGATGAAGCCTATCTGAACATAACAGAGTACTTGGAGGAAAGACTGAACTGGCCTGAAGATGAGAGAAGGTGGTACTTCAACACAGAAAGCACTACAGAAAATGGTAAGCTAAAGACTGTTCTCATGTACATAATGTGCACATCAAATAAACTGCACCAATTTAAAAGTACAAGAACTTAATATAAGTCTTTGAATAATTTGTACTACCATGTGTTCTCAGCCTTTGTTTCATATAGATTATGTATTAACTTTTGCTATTACTCACCCATGCATAAAAGTGGTCCTGCTGATGAATCAGAGTTGGGGGAATGTTCTTAAATTGAGATAAATGGTGCTAGATTTGTTAATCCCAAACAAAAGTTTTTTTTAAATATGTATTTTGCCTTTACAAGTCAAAGTGTTAATTGTGCAAGTAAGTAGTAATAACCCCGTGACTTGAAAAGGGGTAGAATAAGTAAATATTTTGTTCTAAAGGCTATTAATTTTTTAAAGGGTGTTTTCTTAGTAGTACAGTAAGTCCTGTATAGCAGAACCATGAGAAATTATCCTGCAAAGACAGTGCATATAAGCTCCATTAATATAACTGTTTTACAAGATTAAAAATGCATAAGGAAAGTGAGCTTTTCAAGAATTTTAAGCAGTAGTGGTTAAAATATGACAGCATTTTATTTGGCTCCAGAAGATGTAGTTGAAACCACACCAACAGCTGTATGCACAGTTGGGAATAATAAAAAAGGAGGAATGGTGCTAATGTTTGGTGCACAAACCAAAACATTTATATTCTAAGTATTCAAAAATGATTGAAATAGCCTTTGAAATAGCCAAGAGGGTAATCAAGAGTACACTGTACTGAAAAGACTTAGTAGAACAAAAAGAAACCGACATTGTCTTTACAAACTAAGTGTCACTGATGTGTAGTCACATGCTTCTTTCTTCCTGATATCTTTTTTAAGTCTGTGTTCTTTTGGAACAAGTAAACAGTCAGAATGGGAACCTATAATAGTAAAGTGTGTGTACAGTCAGATAGGAGCTTGCTGGTTTTAGAGTTTCTGCCATGATTGCAGGCACAAATAAGCCGTCCAGGTTGGGAAGCTTCTAGAATCAGTTTTTCTAGAACCTGAATTTGCTTGGGGAACATAGGAAAAAAAAACTTTCTGCAAAGGATTTCTATTTGCACAAAAAAGGGAGCGTTACTCTTGAGTGGACTGCTCAAGTTTGTGTGTTCACCAA